CCTCCATTTGTACTCCTTTGTTTACTTCTGTGACATAGTTTTTAATTTTTTTAATTTAACCTTTATTTAACCAGATGAAAGCATTGAGATAGAATCTCATTTGCAATGCTGACCTGGCTAAGAAGGCAGCGACGTTACACATAACACATAACACAAACATATAAAATACAGAGAACATAACTAAGAAAACAAAAGAGGAAAAAGCAGTTACTACATTTGCACCTGTGGATGTGAATCAAAGGCAGTACATGTTTTTGCATAATAGTGAAATGTACATACAGTATAATTCAAATGATCGAGTAGGTAAATGAGATTACTGTATCATCACAAACTATTGATGTTTGTCAGAGAGAGACTCCCTCTGGTGGATGTTGATCAGTATTGTGTTGTCTTTGCTCCAGAGGTTTTTGTACAGAGTGTTGGTGTTTCCTGTCACTGTGGGCCTCAGAGCACAGTAGTACACAGCAGAGTCTGTCTCTTTAGCTGAGATGATCTCCAGATCAACTCGTTTCTCTGTTTTGTCAATGTGAGCAGAGAAATCAGATTCAGTGGGATGGATCCCTCCTGCCTCTGTGATGTAGAGCAGGAACTCTGGTCTGGATCTCTGGTATTGTCGGTACCACTGGATATTGGAGATACTCCCCTCATATTTACATGTCAGGCTGATGTTTCTGCCCTCTGCAACATGTTCTTCACTTCTTTCTGGCTTTATGCTGTTCATGGAGCCCAGGGCTGCAAAATGAGAATTACTCATGTCAGTTAGTCTGCAGGAGATTTGAACATTAAGAGACTCAACGGAGGGTCTTCAATTTCCTGTCATCTTTGATCAGTTTGAGATAAAACATGACCAAATGTCTTCACGGATCACAACGGTTGCTGCCTTACACAATCAAACCTCCAGTTATGAAATCTCTGGCTAATACAGCGGGTTAAATGAGACGTTATCTCTGTTCCAACACTCACCTATGAAGAGAGAGAAGAGTAAACAGAGGTAAAGCAACATGTCTTTGGAGATGTTGAAGTCAAACAGTCAGCAGATGAGTTTTCCTCCTGCAGAAGTGAAGCAGGAAACAGCCTCTCTGCTGCTCAGCCCTTCTCCTCAACATCAGATCATTGTGCTTTTAGTTCCTCAAACATCTCACAGATCATCTGATTGGTTGATACAAACGTCAGTGGGCGGGGCCATAGAATCATGTTTTACTGGTTTTAAGCCATGAAATAAAGTGTTTAAGTCATGGATGTTTAAAGTTTAACTTCTTCATATGTCTAATATTATAGTTGACTTTTCATTCAGGAAGTATAATAAACCTAAGTTTATACTCATCCTGCCAGTATAGCTATGACAAAATATATTTATTTCGTCCATCCGTTCTTGAGGTATACATCTGTTGTGTTTTTGGCGCCCTCTATTGTCCAAAATGAACATGCTTTTTTGTGCCTATTCCCCAAGACAGACTGAACCTATCCACCGAAATATGTGATATTTGGATACATTTCGGATAAATTGTGAGCATTTATGTCTAGGCCACACCTTTTTGCTAATACGTTTTGATTGATGTCGGACACATTTTTCCAAACCTCGTGCTCATTTTCTACGGTAATGTGTCCGACCCTCCACTGACGCTCTACACTAAGTTTGGTGTGGAAAATCAAAAAATTGAAATTTAAGTTAATATTTCACTGTTTTTCACATTATGCTAATTAAAAAAAAATCAAAGTAGGCGGAGCTTCGGGATACGAGAGGATAATATATAGAGCTGCTCCACCCGGGTAAGTTTGCCAAATTTCAGGTCCGTCAGATTTACGCTTGTCCATGTTTGTGATTGGTCGAATGCTCCAAATACCACCCCTTTCATGTGAACGCACACCTAACTAGATAGGGCACGGCTGGCTTGAGCGATCCACTTGATAACCAGCGTCGTAGGACCGCTTAGCGAGAGCGTCTATGTTTTTGATAAGGCCAACCGGCTAACTCAAACATATCCAGGTTAGGTTGAACCGGCTTCGTATTACGGGCCTCTGGTAAATGACATTACTGTATGATCACAAACTATTGATGTTTAACAGAGAGAGACTCCCTCTGGTGTATGTTGATCAGTATTGTGTTGTCTTTGCTCCAGAGGTTTTTGTACAGAGTGTTGGTGTTTCCTGTCACTGTGGGCTTCACAGCACAGTAGTAGACAGCAGAGTCTGTCACTGCAGCAGAGGAGATCTGCAGATCCACTCGTTTCTTTCCTTCAGACAGGTCAGTGAAGAACCTGGTGTCCGATCCAAGTGATTCTGCTTTGTTTATTAAATTAACCCCTGAGATAGACAGGAGGAACTCTGGTGGTTCTCCTGGATATTGTCGATACCAGAAGAAATAATCACCACTAGCTGCTTGTTTGGAGAATCTGTAGGACAGAGTAACAGAGCTGCCTTCTGGACTGAACTCTTCTGTTTTGACAGCTGACGCCTGAGGGAAAGATGAACTCTTTTATTTCATGTTATAAAAGTTATTTTAGCAAAACCACACTCAGAAAGCAATAGTGCAACAAACCTGATAAGATTGCAAAACATATCAGAGAAAAAGCTGAGTTCTGCAGGGACAGCATGTTGAATGAAGGTGATGATGATGATGGTCTGTGTTGAACTCTTGTAAATATGGAAGTTCCTCTCTCTTCTATAGTTCAGGAACATCTTAGCTCCTCCCTGAATCTCTCTGTCTCCTCTTAGATCTGTATTTCACTTCTCTCAGTTACACTTCCTCCTGGGTGACAGATCCAAAGGCAGTCTGTAAATAAAAGTCAGAGGACCTAAGTTTGAACCCTGTGGTACACACTCGCTAACATGGGACAACATGGCAGAGAGCAGCAACTCTCTGGAGGATGTGTTTGAGTTTGTGCCGAGTACAGGGTGGAAGTTCTTCCTCCGGTTACAGATAGACTGAATATATGAATGACCCTGCTACCCTGAACTCAGGGTTCCAGTTATGTGGGAGCCAATGGGAGCTGATCTCATAAGGAGGGTCTGAGCTCCTATGAAAGCAGGGAAGTCATACAACTGTGGGGGTCGGTAATACATTACCAACAACCATTATTTTAAAAGAAAAACAAATATCACCCGTTATTAACGTTATTACCCGGCTGTTATTGATATATTTATCTCCGCCATTAAAGTTAGTTTTAAAGACCCCCATAAAGCTCAGATTATAACTCG